GTCGGTTGCGCAATATGGTGAGCAGTCATTTCGTCTCGCAGCGGAGCGCTACTGTGCTCATCGTCGTGGCGCTCGGCCTCACCGCCATGGGGAAGGCAAGGCTTTAAGATGACCTTGTCATGGCGTCCACTCCACTCCACCCCCAGCCATTCCTCTCGTACAGTAGGAGCTCGACCACAAGAAGCCTTCCACAAGAAACCCATCCCTCAGACCCCAGGACGTCCATTGATTTTTGGTGTGGGAACGTCACGCATTCCTCAGCAAAACCATCGAAACCCAAGAAACCCAGGGCACCCTGGAGGCAAGCACCGTGTTTCTTGGCATGGGTTTCCAGTGTAGGCGGGCCGCCCGCCTCGGTCCCCCTGCGATTTCTTCCATCAAACTTGGGAGTGGCACCGATGGAAGGGGCCACCCAATGGATCGGGACGACCGCGTGAATGGCTGGTCAACAGGAAAGCTCCGGCGTCCAGTGCGAGGTTGCAGGCTGTCGATGCGCGCCGCGCCTGCTGGTGGCTGTCGGCGGCGAGGCTGAAGCACCATATGGTGGACCCGTCCAGGAAGGATGTTGCCAGTGGCCATCATGGGGATAACTTGAAGGAGCTGCTGTGGAAATCACGCCGTCCTAGCCCCCGGCGCGTGAGAAAGCCAGGCCGCCCCCGCCGCGCCCCCAGGGACCATGTCGGGGGAGCGCACCAGGCGCGCCGGGCGTGTCCCAGTCTGGGGCTCTCGCTCGAGACATCCTCGCAACGCCGACCCCCTGGCGCGTAAGAAAGTCAGGCCCCACCGCGCGCCTCCAAGGACCATTTCCGCGGACAAGCTGGGCGCACTGGGCGCGCCGGGCGCGTCCCAGTCCGGGGCTCTCGCTCAAGACAGCCTCGCAAGGTCGCCGGGTCGCTCCCCGACGGAGACCCCCAGCAGTTGGAGGAGGAAGGCAAGGAGGAGGAGGAGGAGGAGGAGGAGGAGGAGGAGGAGGAGGAGGGAGGAGGAGGAGGAGGAGGAGGAGGAGGAGGAGAAGGAGAAGGAGATGAGGAGGAGGAAGGCAAGGAGGAGGAGGAGGAGGAGGCGAAAGCAGGAAACAGGAGCAGAAGGCAGGAGGGGGAGGAGGAGGCGAAGGAGGCTAGGGGCAGGGGCAAAGGGAGAAGGAGGAAGAGGCGGAAGAGGGAGAAGGTAGCTCCGCGAAATGCTGGGTTCGCAGATATCGTCCTAGAGGTGGTCTAGGCTCCAAACTCGCCCGATCCTCACCCCTTGCTGATCTTCGTTCTTCTGATCCTCGCTCGCCTGGCCCTCATGTTTCACATCCTCACGCTCCTGCTCCGCGCTCGCCTGCTCTTGAGCCTTATGACTCTCACTCTCCTGATCCTTCTCCTCGCGAGCCTCGCCCTTCTGATCCGCATCCTCCTTATCCTCACCCACCGCACCACCGCCTCCCGAGCGTGTATATATATATATATATATAAATATATGCGTACGTACGTACGTACGTACGTACGTACGTACATACATACATACATACATGCAGAAGACAGACAGACAGACAGACAGACAGACAGACAGACAGACAGACAGACAGACAGACAGACAGACAGACAGACAGACAGACAGACAGACAGACAGACAGACAGGACACACAGATACACAGATGCACATACATAGATCTGTATATTTGCATACACATGTACACACAGCAACTCCCGATCTACCGCAGAGCGCCTGCTACTCGTAAGAAGGCGGTATCGAAGTTCGGGTAAGGGACGGTCTGAGCTGTGGGTGCCCCATCAACCTTTTCCCTCCTCCTCCTCCTCCTCCTCCTCCACCTCCTCCTCCTCCTCCTCCTCCACCTCCTCCTCCTCCTCCTCCTCAGCAGGAACAGCAGCAGCATCATCATCCTCCTCCTCCTCTTCCTCCTCCTCCTCCTTCCCTACATCCTTCTCCTCTGCCCCCGCCTCTCCCTCGGACCACTGGCCTTCGAAGCAATGACAGGCTGGCCCATCAGAAGCGAAGAGCCTGAGGGACCGGAAAAGGAAACATGACACAGCGAAGGGCCATGCCATCATAAGCAAATCTGCCTCATGGAACGGCTAATAGGAGTGCGCTACCATCAGATGCAAACTGGGGTTCCGACGTCTGCGAGCATGATAGACAACGTGCTGCCCACGCTCCGCATGTTTGGGGCGCCCATGTAAGTTGTAACGCCCAGGATGCGAGCCGTCGTGCGTAGTGTGTTCCCACCGCGTGGGACCTAGGTAGAACAATCTAGCAGCATAATCCGGCATAATCCTCCCACCCTCCTCGCCTCCTCCCCCTCCTCCTCCTCCTCCTCATCCTCCTCCTCCTCCCTCCTCCTCCTCCTCCTCCTCTCTCCTCCTCCTCCCTCCTCCTCCCCTCCTCCTCCTCCTGCCTCCTCCTCCTCCTCCTCCTCCTCCTGCCTCCTCCTCCTCCTCCTCCTCCTCCTCCTCCTCCTCCTCCTCCTCCTCCTCCTCCTGCTCCTCCTCGGCCACGTTGCTGAACGAGCTGAGCGGCACGTGGATCGTCGGGCCCCCAGAGGTTGAGGCCAAGCGGCTCGAGGCTCGAGGTGGCCGCCGCTCGAGCTCACGAGGTGCGTGCTGGGCCTCGGCATGCGGGTCCAGCAGGCCAAGTCGGGCCTGGTGCTCCACCGCGCTCGCCTCGCGCACCGCCTTCGGGCGCGGGCCCTGCAGACAGGCTCGCGCCCTCGGCGTGCGATGCGCAACCTCGGCCACGAACTTCACGAGCCGAGGGTGTCCATGCGGCAGGGGGCGGCGCGTGCTGCTGCCCTCCACGCGCGGAGCCGCCGAGTGGCCGTGCTGGCCCGCGGCGCTGGGCGCAGGGCGACGGCGCTGCTGTGGCGCACCGGCTCGGCGCCGTCGCTCGCCCATGGGGCGGGCGCCAGCGGCATGGCGGACCGTCGACTTCGGCTCTTTCGGCACGCTGCGGCCACCCTGAACGGATAGATGCCCGGATCGGGGTGCACGGCTCACTTGCTCACGCATCCCAGTCCGCGGCACGACCCGATCTATGATGACGAACGAACAACACACACACACACACACCCATAGGGAGGTCGGAGGAAGAAGGACTGGCTAAGGGTATGGGCGCGGGTTGTCGGACTGCTGGGGAGGCTCCCGTTCGAGCGGGGACCCCCATCCGACATCACGCACCCATAGCTCATTCCGTTGCCCCTATGGGTATGGGTGCGTGCTGAACGTTCGTCATATGACGCGTCAGCGCCTCTCGTCCTGCGGTACGCGGGCCGGCTGTGGGACGGCCGCAGCTCGGGCGTCCGGCTCCAGCGGGCCCGAGGCGCGGCACACGGCAACATCGGCGCCGCCACGCTTGGCACGGGCACGGCGCGTGGGCCCCTTTGTGTCCACCTGTCCCTTCGCTGCGGAGGCTGGGCTGGGAGGTGCTGCCCTCGGCCCACGTCGGGTCCGACGCGGGCGACGTGCTCTCTCTCTGCTCAGTGTGCCTCCCGAGGATCTGCGGCACCACCTGCGGAAGGCCATCGAGGGGGGGCAGACCCCGCCTCCTGGGGCAAATGCACCTGGCCTCGGGCGACGAGCAGGTCTGGGCCCGAGGCCTGCGCCTGGGCCTGCGCTCGCTGCCGCCGCGGCAGCTGGGCGCGCTGCAGCTGCTGCGGCCCGGCCGCGGCCACAGCCCCGAGCGGAGGGCGGCCGCCGAGGGCTTCGGCCAGACGCACTGCCGAGCGTGCGGAGCGGAGTGCGGCAACTACGGGCACACGTGGTGCGATTGCCCGAAGCTGCTCGAGGTGCAGCGGGGGAGCCCCCTGCCGCCGCTGCCGGAGGCCCTCAATGCTGGTTGGCGCGGGCTCGGCCTGCCACTGCGACGCCCTGGATTGCGGGCATGGCCTTCCAGACGTCCCGCACACGTTCACGGTGAAGGCCGCGGAGAGCGAGCTCCCAAACTTCTGGGGCGACGCCGAGGCTGGCGCGTGGGGTTCTGAGTCCTGTACAGATGGCTCAGGTTTCGAGTCAACGCAGCCTGAATTGACGCGCTGCGGCTGGTCCGCAGTCCAAACCGATGAGAATATGTTGCCTGCACGCGCGATGTATGGCCCTCTCCCCGGCATTCAGACTGTCGGTAGAGCTGAGCGTTGGGCGGTGTACCGTCTTGTGAAACATGGCCCAGCCACCCAGCATGTAGTAAGTGATGTGGCGAGCTTGGCTTCTGAAGGTCTCCCTTGGGACTCCGCTCTTGAGAGCTCCAGGGGGAAGCATGAGATTTGGAGGCTCATTTTTGGGCCTGCAGGTTCCCGCGAGCCTCCTAGTTTCAGTTGGACCCCTGCCCACAAGACCCCCGAGGAGGCCCTCTCTCTCGGGATCCCCCTCCGCGGGTGGGTTCGCAATATGTGGGCTGACTGGTTCGCCAAGCTCGGGGCGTCAGCGCATGCTGTGTCGTCGGTCCACGCTGAGCCTCTCTCGTCGGAGCTCCAGCGCACCAAGGCGATCCCCCGATAGGTGTCTTGGGCGGCCTGTCGGGCGGCAGAGCTCGACCTGTGGCACGACCCGCGCGAGTCTCGTGTCAGGGTGCCCCGCAAAGCTCTCGGGGCCCCTGTGAAGATCGTGTCTCACGACCTCGTTCGTCTCGAGCCGTCCATGGAGCGTCGTTGCCGCAGGCGCTCCTGTGTTGCCCGCACGGACGGGCATTTGGCGCACCTCCTTGAATGGTGACTGTGGGCCGCTGCCCACCCATGCGTGGGCGGCCCGCGTCTTCTTCTCGAGGCCTGGTCTGGTGGTCAGTGACTTCAGGGGTCCCGTCCGCGGTCGGTGCGTGTCCGCCGCCCTGGCGGCAGCTGGTGAGGTTCTGGGACCCGTGCCTGCGCCGCCAGGGGCACCACCAGACGGCCTCGAGGTGTTTAGGGAACTGAAGCATGTTTTAGTTACCCACGGGCCAACGGTATGTTGCACCCAGCGTGGGGCCATCACGTCGGGGGCGGAGGGGTGGAGGGGGCGCTCGTATCTTAACTCAGCGTGCCTGGGGCCATCTTCCAGCCCTGCCGCCAGGGCTGACCAAAAGCGGAAGGCCGAAGTGGTGGTGAAAAGTCTCAACCCAACGACAGGGGGCCCCGTTGCCGCCAGTGGCCTGTACTCGTTCAGCTTTGTTCCTGCGGCCTCGCCTTCCCCCGTCCGCCAGAAGTGGCTAGGGAGTTCGTGTGTTCATGCGTCTGGGTTCCAGGGTGTTCCTGTTGTTTCGGAGAACTTCTGCAGGCTGCGCCTGGTCCTTCTCCTCCTCCGCCTCCTCCTTCTCCGCCTCGTTCTCCTCCGCCCTTTCTCCTCCCCCTCCTCTCTCTCCTCTCCCTTCCAACCTCCCCCTCCTCCTCCTCCTCCTCCTCCTCCTCCTCCTCCTCCCCTTATTCCTCTTCTGCCTTGTATTAGTGTGAATAATGCTCGTAGTAGAACTGTTCGTAATACCTCTAGTCGTAGTAATAGTATTAATATTAGTCGCATCAATGTCCTTCGTAACAGTATTTGATTGATCTGACAATGAGTATTAATAGTAGTATTAGTGTTAATGTTAGCACTGGCATTGGCATCCGCATAGATAGTTGTAGTAGTCTAGCAGATTCGCATGATATTAATTAGCTAGTGGTCTGGCTATTAGCATGGTGATTACTCTGCGTGTTCCTCCTCCTCGTCCTGCTCATCATCATCATTAGCATCAGGGGCAGCCGCAGCATCATCATCAGCAGCATCAGCATAATCCGAATAATCATCATCAGCGGCATCATCAGCATCAGCTTCAGCATCATCAGCAGCATCAGCATTATCACAATCATGATTGTAAACATCATCAGCCTCATCATCATCATCATCATCATCATCATCATCATCATCATCATCATCAGCAGCAGCAGCAGCATCATCAACAGCATCGGCATCATCAGCTGCATCATCATCAGCATCATCATCAGCAGCAGCAGCATCATCATAATCGTCCTCTTCCTCCCCTCCGCCTCGGCCTCCGCCTGAACCTCCTCCTCCTCCTCCTCCTCCTCCTCCTCCTCATCATCATCATCATCATCAGCATCATCATCATCATCATCATCATCATCATCAGCATCATCATCATCAATCATTATCATCATCATCATTCATCAGCATCATCACATCATCATCCTATCAATCATCATCATCATCATCATATCAATCATCATCATCCATCATCATCAGCATCATATCAGCAGCCTCATCATCATCATCATCATCTCATCCTATCCTCACTCCTCATCTCATCCTCCTCCGCCGTCTCCTCCGCCTCCTTCCGCTCCTCCTCCCGCCTTCTCCTCCTCCTCCTCTCCTCCACCTCATCATTCTTCTCATCTCCTCCTCCTCCTCCTCCTCCTCTCCTCTCCTCCCTCCTCCTCCTCTCTCCCCCTCTCCTCCGCCTCCTCCTCCTCTCTCCTCCGCTCTCCTCTCTTCCCACCTCCCCTCCTCTCCACCTCCGTGCCACTGGAGAGGAGGAGGAGGACGAAGTGCCCCATCATCCTCCTCTCCACTCCTCCTCCTCCTCCACCTCCGCCTCCTCCTCCTCCGCTTCATCCTCTCCTCCACTCCTCCTCCTCCTCTCCCTCCCTCCTCCCTCCCTCCTCCACCATTCCCTCCTCCCCCTCCTTCCTTTCTCGCCGTGCTCGCGCGGGCCGCCCTCTCTCCCCTCCTCCCTCCTCCTCTCTTCTCCTCCTCCCCTCCTCCTCTCCTCCTGCTCCTCTCCTCCTCCTCTCTCCCCTCCTTCCTCTTCCACCTCTCCTCCTCCTACTGCTCCTCCTCCTCCTCCTCATCTCCTCTCCTCCTCCCCTTCCCTCTCCCCTCTTCTCCTCTCCTCCTCCACCTCCTTCTCCTCCTCCTCCTTCACCTCCGCCTCTCCTTCCTCCTCCGCCTCCTCCTCCTCTCCTCCTACTCCTCCTTCACTCCTCCTCCTCCTTCCTCCCCCCTCCTCCTCTCCTCCTCCCTCCTCCTCCTCCCTCCCTCCTCCCTCCTCCCTCATCCATCCCTCCTCCTCCCTCCTCCGCACTCTCTCCTCCCTTCCCTCCCTCCCTCCTCCCTCCCTCTCTCCTCCCCTTTTCTCTCCGTGCTCGCGCGGCCTCCCACGTGCGCTTTTGGATCCCCCCGTCCTTGAGGTCTTGAACCACTGAGAGTTCCTTCATGCGCTCCTCCATCGCGAGAGCATCGTTATCGGGTTTGGCCATTTTCGACATCTTCTCGACGAACGTGGCGGTAATGATGTCCGCATGCCCGCATCTATCCGCGGGGAGGGGCTGGCCACACGAAGCGACCAACCATATTCGACCATCCCCCCCGCCAGCCCAAATCAGAGACAACGAACGGGTATTATCTGCATGGCACATGTTCTTGCTGCGCGCGACCTCCCAGTGGCTCACCGCGCTCGGTGCACACATCTACCAATCAACGCCGGCCGACATAGCAGGACCCCAAAACGGCTCCAAGACAGCCCCCCGTTACAAAGGGCGGCATCTCAGATGGCACAAGACATCCCCATACGGTTCGAAAGACTCCAAGCATGCCTCCCAGATGCCTCAAGGCCGCCCCGAAACGGCTCCGCGCGACCTCGGAACCCCCCAAGGGAGCCCCAAGACGCCAAGATCGCGTACGATGCTTTTAGGTACCGGTCTGTCGCGCACCCTCGCCCACTCGGCTCCGATGGGCATTCGAGGCCTCGGGATGGCTCCCAGGTCGCCCGAGCGGGCGCCCAGGGGGGGCCACGAAGGCCCCAAGGCGGCCCCAAGAGAGCTCAAGCGCAAGAGAGCCCCACGAGGCCACTTCTCAGCGCAGGAGCGCCCCACGATGCCACTTGTCTGCCTCCGACGGAGGGGGGACTGAGCCGCCTTCTGTTTTTTTCTGCGGCCTCAAGGATGGCCCGAAGAGGGCCCCCCCCCCGATGGCCCACGCACGATGCTCAGCAGCACGACGCCTGCGCCGTGGCCGCGGAGAGAGAAAGGAAGAGAGAGAGAGAGAGGGAGAGAGAGCGAGAGAGTGATTGATCGAGCGAGAGAGAGAGAGAGGAAAAAAAAAAACATACACAACTAATGATTTTACTGGGCTAGCGGGATGAAGGGGGCACGACACCGTGTAAACAATGTGTGGCTCCGATACCCTCCTCGCTCTGGCGGTGCCTCCCTGGAGGTGTGGGAGGGGCACGAAACTGTGTAAATAATGTGGCTCCGATACCCTCCTCGCTCTGTCGGGGCTTCCCTGGGGGGGGAGCGGGATGGGCACGACACCGTGAAAAAATGTGTGGTTCCGGTAGCGCCCTCGCTCTGGCAGATCCTCCCTGGGGGGGTGGGAGGGGCACGAAACCGTGCAAAGAATGTGCTGTTCCGATATCGCCCTCACTATGGCAGCTTTCCCTGGGGGGGGGGGGGAGGAGCACAAAACCGTAAAGAATGCATGGCTCCGATACCCTCCTCGCTCTGACAGGGGTTTCCTGGGGGGGCGGGAGGGCACGAAAACGGTGTAAATAACGTGTGGTTCCGAAACCCTCCTCGCTCTGGCGGGGCTTTCCATGGGGGGGTGGGAGGGGCACGAAAACGGTGTAAATAATGTGTGGTTCCGATGCCGTTCTCGCTGAGACAGTGCTTCCCTGGGGGGTGGGAGGGGCACGAAACTGTGTAAATAATGAGCGGTTCCGATAGCGTCCTGACTCTGGCGGGACCTCCCTGGAAGAGTGGGAAGGGCACGAAAACGTGTAAATAATGCATGTTTCCGATACCCTCCTCGCTCTGGCGGGGCGTTTGTGGGGGGGGGCGGGAGGGGCATGAAACCTATAAATCATGTACGGTTTCGATAGCGTCCTTGCTCTGGCGGGGCCTCCCTGGGGTGGGCGGGAGGGATGAAAATAATGCGCGGTTCCGATAGCGCGTTCTCGCTCTGGCAGGGCTTCCCTGGGGTGGGCGGGAGAGACACGAAACCGTGTAAAGAATGCGTGGATCCGACAGGAGTGGGAAGGGCACGAAACGGTGTGTAAATAATGCGTGGCGCCAATACCCTCCTCGCTCTGGCGGAGCTTCCCTGGGGGGGCGGGAGGGGCGCGAAAACGTAAAGAAAATAATGCATGGTCCCGATCGCGTTCTCGCTCTGGCGGGGCCTCCCTGGGGTGGGGCGGGAGGGGCACGAAACCCATAAATAATGTGTGGTTCCGATGCCGTCCTCGCTCTGGCAGGGCCACCCTGTTGATAATGCGTGGGAGGGGCACGAAACCGTGTTGATAATGCGTGGCTCCGGTACCCTCCTCGCTCTGGCGGGGCTTCCCTGGAGGAGTGGGAAGGGCACGAAACGGTGTAAATAATGCGTGGTTCCGATACCCTCGCTCTGGCGGGGCTTCTGTGGGAGGGGTGGGAGGGGCACGAAACCATAATTATCCCGGCAAAGCAACCTAACAGCGATGTGTAGGAGCATATCTGGAAGCATTCCCCTTAAGATTCGGATGAGAATCCAGTTGTAGAATTCTGCTGTTCTCGCAGTCGTAGTCGCATTCGCGATGACAGTCGCAGTGGCAACGGCAGTCGCAGTCACAGCCTCAGCCTCAGCCTGCCTCAGCCTCAGCCTCAGCCTGCCTCAGCCTCAGCCTGCCTGCAGCCTCAGCCTCAGCCTGCTTCAGCCTCAGCCTCAGTCTGCCTTCAGCCTCGGCCTCAGCCTCAGCCTGCCTCAGCCTCAGCCTGCATCAGCCTCAGCCTCAGCCTCAGCCTCAGCCTGCTCAGCATCAGCCTGCCTCAGCCTCAGCCTCAGCCTCAGCCTCAGCCTCAGCCTCAGCCTGCTTCAGCCTCAGCCTCAGTCTGCCTTCAGCCTCGGCCTCAGCCTCAGCCTGCCTCAGCCTCAGCCTGCATCAGCCTCAGCCTCAGCCTCAGCCTGCCTCAGCATCCGCCAGCCTCAGCCTCCGCCTCAGCCTCAGCCTCAGCCTCAGCCTCAGCCTCAGCCTCAGCCTGCTTCAGCCAAAGCCTCAGTCTGCCTTCAACCTTGGCCTCAGCCTCAGCCTGCCTCAGCCTCAGCCTGCATCAGCCTCAGCCTCAGCCTCAGCCTGCCTCAGCCTCAGCCTGCCTCAGCCTCAGCCTGCCTCTGCCTCAGCCTCAGCCTGCCTCAGCCTCAGTCTGCCTTCAGCCTCGGCCTCAGCCTCAGCCTGCCTCAGCCTCAGCTTCAGCCTCAGCCTCAGCCTCAGCCTGTCTCAGCATTAAAAATTCAGCCTGTCTCAGCATTCAAAATCATGCCCAGAAATAAAGTTCTGGGAACTCGAAGACCACGAAGTGGCCTACAGTTGGCTCCGGGCATTCAAAATGTGTCCCGGGAATGGAGTTCTGGGAACTCGAAGAGCACGAAGTGGCCTACAGTTGGATCCGGGCATTCAAAATGTGGCCCGGGAATGGAGTTCTGGGAGGTCGAAGAGCACGAAGTGGCCTACAGTTGGCCCCGGGCATTCAAAATGTGGCCCGGGAATAGAATTCTGGGAAGTCGAAGAGAACGAAGTGGCCTACAGTTGGCTCCGGGCATCCAAAATGTGGCCCGGGAATGGAGTTCTGGGAAGGCGAAGAGCACGAAGTGGCCTACAGTTGGTTCCGGGCATCCAGAATGTGGCCCAGGAATGGAGTTTTGGGAGGTCGAAGAGCACGAAGTGTGTGACTGTTAACGAAAAGCGAGCCCGGCTCTATTCCCGGTTCTGTTCCCGGTTCTCCTCCCCGGCACCCGCCCAGACCCCCCTGAGGAGTCCAGATGCTCTCTTTTGAGACCACTAGAAACCTATCAGCAAGAGCTGTTAGGAAAATTATCCCAGCAAAGCAACCGAACAGCGATGTGTAAAAGCATATATGTGTGCACCATCATTTAGATTCAGATGGCGATTTCATTAATATTCAACTCGGACTCTCATTGTAGATTTTTGCATCAAAGTCTGCAATCGACGGATGTGAGTTAAAACAAGCACTCGGTATCAACGAATGCAGTTTCAAATGAGACTCTGGTATCTACGTTCACTGCGTGCTCACGGAAACGTTTGAAGTGGATTATGTGATGATGACCATGATTGTTTAAAGTAGAGCTTATGTATGAATGAATGCTGCGTTTGATGGCTGCGTTCTTTCGAAGTGTTTTTTCGGACACGCACGAGGAGCACAAATGAGTGCAGCGCACGGAGCGAGAAAACGGGCAAAAGCTGCAAGCTAAGAAGCATCGCAGACACTCGCAGGCACCGTGCCAACGCGGCCGAGCAGATCAACCTGCACTGTCTCGTGCAGGTTGATCAGGCGTCGCGCGACCTCGAAGGACTACTACCAGTACTAGCACTACTAATTTCACGAAACACTGGAACTGTGCCAGTACAAATCATTGCTTTGACTAACGGTAGTATTGGTAGTGTTCCTGGGGCAGACCTGTTCGAACAACATGGGCCGATCCCGCTCGAGGTTCGGCGCGCCGTCCCCGAACCAGAACACTGTGTAGCACGCCGGCCAGGACCTGCTGTCGAAAGAACTCAAGGGTTTCTGCGTAGGCACCAATAAGGAGTGCGGGCCCACCGCCCTGCACGCGTCTGCTCCTGCTTGCGCTGTCTCCAGCACCACTTGCACTCGCTCGTCAAACGAACGAGCAGCACTCTGCACATCGAGAACCATGCTGCGCATAGTATACCTGCCGCCTTCGTCGGCAACAGGCTGAAGAGCACCGCTGCTGTCTGCCACTGTCGGTGTCGCCTCGTTCTTTGCGACGCGTGCCGCCTGCTCCTGCAGTGCCACCAGCGTGCCTTGCAGCGCTTGCATCATTCGGACTGGAGCGACGTCATGCACTGGATCCACTGCAACTGTGAACTCTGCCACATTCTCATGCAGGTAGGCCATGTCAGGCTGTTCTGGTGGTTGTCCGTCTTTGTCTGTCTCTTTCTGCTCGTCAGACTCGTCCTCCTTGTCAGACTCGTCTCCCGCTTCGTCGTCTCTGCCCACCTCCGGCGCTCTGGATGCTGGCCCCAACAAACGTACCGGGGCTTTATCGGCACCGTCCACCGGTTGCAGACAGGCCTGGATGCGGTCTGGCACGCCGTCCTCCGGCAGCCGCGTCGGGGCGACGTCCTCTCGGATGGACACCTCGGAAAAAGTAACGCACTGCTGCTTGCGCTCCCTCACGATCTGCATGTATTCGGCTCGGTTGACTGTTGCCCAGTGCGCCTTGCTGAGATTGTGCGCGGCGCCCGAGAAGACGACGTTCAGAGAGTCCACAAGCGCGACCTCCGCCGGGGGCAGCTC